GGGGGGGGTCTTCAATGGGAAAAGAAGGCTTACAAATTGGACTGGGAACCTCTTTCATACACACAGAAAAACATGTGCCCCGAGGCACCAAGAGTGAAGCTTGCTTGTTTCAGGACCTTTCTAAGTAGTAGTAGGGTATTGCCCTGTATATAAGTCGACCCAGGATTTTAGGGTCACTTTTGTGGCATCAATTTCTTGACTTATAGTCAAGTATATACAGTACTTATGATAATAAAAACCTGGGCAAGCAGACAAGCACAGACCGTAATAACAATTGTGACATCCAGCAGGGCAATATGAACAGAATCCTAAAGTGGAAGAGATTTTCTGATAAGCTGTGGAATATTCCATAGCAATTGTTTTTAAATTAGACAAAGTAATGCAAGGTTTATTTTTGGGCTTCTGAGTTTGAAAAAGCTGCAGCCTTCCTGGAGCCTTCTAGATGGAAAAACAAGGTTGGGGGGGAACCACATCCACTGATCAATAGATTATTTTTTTAAAAAAGATTTGCAAGCTTAAGAGAAGAGAATTGCTGTGGGTTTTATTGCAGTCTTGTAAGTGCACTGAAGTCTTTCAGCCATTCCAGGAAAGTGTCAGTATAAGAATTGTGGCAGGACTTTGAGATGATGGTCTTGATTGTCTTTCCATGCAACAGATGGCAAAGAACAGTGAATGTATGAAGGGGCAATGCACAGATATGGGTCACATATCACATATCCTGCAGTCCATAAGCTTACTTATGTTTTGGGAAAGGGAGACCAAAATGGTTGAATTACACTTGATTTTAAAAGTTTTGCCATTGTTCTTGTTTTCGTTGTTGCTGTTGCTGCCCATCTTCCTCTTCTTCTACTCCCCCCATTATCAGTAGCTCCCAGGGTTAGAATCAGGAAACCACAAATTTCTGTATAGTCTCCCCATGCGGTGAATCATGAGGGTCCACCCATAATGAACACTCATGCCAATGTGATTCCACTTTAACTGTCACATATCCATCCCATGGAATCCTGAGACTTATAGTTTGGTCAAAGATACTAAGAATTCACTACTCCAATCCTTTGAACATCTCTCTAGCAGAGAATTCAAAGCATCTCAAGAAACGACAGGTCCCCAAATTCTATCTGATGGAGCCATAGCAGTTCCAGTGGTATCAAATAGTTGCAATTGTGTAGTATGGATGCATCCCAGGACTGATCATAGTGACTGGGTACTGAAGTTCAAGAAAGATAATGGCAAATTAGAACATGTCCAGGGGACAGTGACCGAGATAGTAAAAAGTCTGGAGATCAAGACCCATGAGAAACATCATAAAGATCTGTGTATGTTTAGCTTGGAGAAGAAAAAATTGAAAAGTGATATGATAGCCAGCTTTAAATATTTGAAGGGATGTCATGCAGAAGAGCTTGTTTTCTGTTGCTTTGGAGACTTGGACATGAACCAACAGATTACAATTGCAAGAAGAGAGATTCAACCTAAACAATAGCAAGAGATAGTAAGGATTGTTTGATAGTAGAATAGACTGCCTTGATGGGTGGTGGAATTTTTTAAACAGAGGTTGGATGGCCACCTCTCAGTAGTGTTTTAGCTGTATAATCCTTCATGGCAGGACATTGAACTAGATGACACTTTTGGTACTTTCCAGTCTATGATTCTATGAATCCTCTCACCCAGGCCATCTATTTGCTCTTCCTGACCTATTATTACAGGCTTCCATGTCAAGCTGAACTTTGCCTGGAGTCCTAATTTGTGACCTAATTTCAGTTATCAGAGACCTAAAACTCCTGGTTCTTTAACCATGTTCATTCTCACAAGCAAAACATATTTAAGGTTGGGGACTTCTCTTTTTTATAAGGAGAAAGGCAAGACAAGTAAGAGGAAAAGGAGGAAGAGGCTTAAAAACTTTAAAATAATGTGTGTGTGCATGTGTGTGTGTTGTGCAGCTCTAAGGTGACCCTATCATGAGGTTTTCTTGGCAAGATTTGTTCACAGGTTTGCCATAGGCCATATTATGCACAGTACAGTTGGCTCTCTGTATCCATGGATTTTTTTTATCCACGGATTCAAGCATCCATGGCTTGAAAATATTCAAATATTATAAAAATTCCAATAAGCAAACCTTGATTTTGCCATTTTCTATAAGGGACACCATAGTATAGAGCCAGCATGGTATAGTGGTTTGAGCATAGGACTACGACTCTAGAGATCAGGATTCGATTCCCTGTCCAGCCATGGAAACCCACTGGGTGACCTTGGGTGAGTCACATACTCTCAAACCCAGAAACCCCTATGACTTATGGTGGCTCTAAGGCACCTTATAGCCACCATAAGTCAGAAACCACTTGAAGGCACACAACAAGAAACCACAGTATACACTGTACCTTAGTTCAGTGATACAGCTAAAGCATGCAAGTTTACTTTTTCGACTACAGCTCTCTACAGCCAGTATGATCAGTTTCAGTATGACAGAGAAATTTTTAGTAAATTTTCCAGTCTTGGGGTATGGCATAGGTTTTGCATTTAAAATCTCTCCCTCTCAGTTTCTATTACTGTCAGATAGGACTGGGAAATATGCTTAAATACCCAGAAGGCACCAGACCATGTCTAATCTTGGAAGCTATGATCTGTCTCCCCATCTGATCCCCTAAAAGTCATCTTAAAAGACAGGCAGCCATACTTAGTGATAGAGTTCTTTCATTCTGGTGAGTGGGGCACTGAAGGATGATGCATCAATCCCCCTCCTACCAAGTACTGCTTCAGGTCCTGCCATAACTGCTCATCACAGTGTGGCTTGTTGCTGAACATGTTATCTTTCAAAACCCTGCTTGTCAGTGCCACAAAACTCCTTCAGTTGGTGCAGTTGCCTGATGTTTAAGGTGGGTTTTAAGAGGTATTTGCAATTGTAGCAATGGTGCCATGACTAGATGTGAATAGCAAAGTTGACAATATTGTAAATCTAGCTGACAACATTGGATACCAACCCATGCATTTTTCTTTACAAAATAATTCACCTGCAACACTGTCCAGGCCTGTCCAGATGATTTCTAAACGTTAAGTTTTAAATGATGAATTCTGCATGTGGGTTGTTCTAATACGTATGTGTCTTGTTTGTTTTTGTATGTTTCTTGTCTGTGTTGTTCCCCACCTTGATCCATGGGGAAAGCCCAGTAAGAAATGATTATTGATAAGGATAAGGATAAGGATAAGAATAAGAATAAGAATAAGAATAAGAATAAGAATAATGGGATCCTGCATGGGGGTTGTGTAGAGTAAATCTCTGAAAATCGCTGCATGTGGAGTTATGTATTAAGTGTGCCATACAATACTTATGTCAAATGTTGCGCAAATGAACCAAGGCACCAAATTTGCCACCTGACGCACGTGTGCATCCATGTCTAGTGGGCATCATATCATGTACACCTGTGAATATTTCTCCACAGTATTCTTACCATATTCTATGACCTGCCATGACATTCAACAGCTGAATATGCAGTCCACATTTAAAACAGCATTAAAGATCAGTCTCTTCTGGCAGGCCTATCCAGATGACTTCTAAACTGTAAGTTTTAAATGATAAATTTTACATTTGGGTTGTTCTAATACGTATGTGTCTTGTTTATTTTTTAAAAAACTAAAGTGTGTTTTTAACAGACTTATATTTTTTGTTCTGTTGTTGTTCCCCCCTCCTTTGATCCATGGGGAAAGGTCGGTAAGAAATAATAATAATAATAATAATAACAACAACAACAACAACAACAACAACAACAATATCATCTTACTGACCTCTCCCCATGGATCAAGGGGGGGAGAACAACAACAGACCAACAAATACAAGTCAGTTAACACACATTGATTTAAAAGAACAAACAAGACACATACGTATTAGAACAACCCACATGTAAAATTCATCATTTAAAATTTACAGTTTAGAAATCATCTGGATAGCCCTGCCAGAAGAGACTGGTCTTTAATGCTGTTTTAAATGTGGACTGCATATTCAGCTGTTGAATCTCTTCTGGCAGGTCATAGAATATGATAAGAATACTGCGGAGAAATATTCACAGGTGTACATGATATGATGCCCACTAGACATGGTTGCACATGTGCGTCAGGTGGCAAATTTGGTGCTTTGGTTTATTTGCACAACATTTGACACAAGCATTGCATGGCACACTTAATGAATAACTCCACATGCAGAGATTTCCAGAGATTTCCTCTACACAACCCCCGTGTAGGATCTTGGCCATAATGTGTTTTAAAAAGAGATTACTTTTAAAAATCTGTATCTTTCATCTTTGAAGAAGTGCCGGAGCTGCCTGCTGCTCTGGGTCATTACATAACAGTTGTCCAGAAGGCATTATTAACAAGCACACAGTGCATTCATGGAAAGAGTTAAAAGCCCCAGTGATGCTAGCAGCTCCAGGCTTATAGATCACTGACAGCTTGTCCTCAATTGCCCCCCAAGAAGACTGTGTGATGGACAACATTGACATTCCTGGCAGAGGGAGAGAAAGGGGCTGCATGAGGAGGAGGGAAGGGAGGCGTGGTTGGGACCCACACCGGAAATGAAGTTACAGTTCGATACTGATTAGAATGAGATTTTAAGAGGACTGGACAGGAGGGAACAGATGTATTTGCCAGATCGAGTCACCTCAGATGACCCCCGGTGGCCGGCAGGGCTCAAATGAAACGCTAACAGTAGGCCAAGTGAGTTGCTGCTGTTGACAGGGCTTGTCGGGCTGAAGTCCACCTCAACTAACACTGAACAAGACTACAGGAAGGACCAGCTCTATGGAAAACAGCCTTTCCTTAATTCTGTGGCATTGATTTAGATGGGCAATAAAGGAGGAAACTTTATGTTCTCCTCCATCAACCCACTCAATTTTCCACTATTGATGCAGCTACACTGTAGAAATAGTGCACTTGGACATGACTTTAAGTCCCATGGCTCCTTCCTACAGAATCCTGGGATTTGGAGCTTGGCAAAGCACCAGCATAAGCCAATTGCCCAGAACAAGTTGGGTACTTATTTTACCGACCTACGAAAGGATGGAAGGCTGAATCAACCTGAAGCCCACTGGGATCGAACTCACAACATTGTGGCTGCAGTGCTGGCCTTTAACCACTGCGCTCCTGGGCTTATCAGACCTTTGCAGGCAGGGTATTCCACAATGCTGGTGTCACAGCAGAGAAGACCCTTCCTCATGTCCTCCCGCTGGGTATTGCTCCTGTTGGTGGGACACAGAGGAGGAGGTTCTCACCAACAGACTTCAGCAAACTTGTCTATTGTGTCTGAGGCCAGACGAAGAAGATTGGAGCCTTGGAGCACTTCCTCAAACTTTGGGGCATGTGTGAACTCCCCTGATGGAAGGCTGGCAGAAGAACCATTCCATTTGTCTTGTTCCAAGTGCTATTAATTATTAGTTGCTTTGAACCTTTGTGAGGAAAAGTGAGGAAAAAATTGTCTCAAATAAATCAGTAAATAAAGATAGTGAAAAATATAATGTAAGCATTCCAATTTCTAGATGTCTTCTTAGGTGTCTGCTCAGAAGTAACCCCCTCAAACAGTTCAGTGGGATGCCTTCCAGCTAAGTGTATATCAGATTACATAATAATAAATACTTAGTGAATTATATCATGAACTTTCAACAACAAGAGGCAAACAGGAACACAGACATGCAGAGACATAGGCAGGTACATGGGTCTTTCCATCTTAACTGCCATGGCTTCTTTGCATTTCTGTGGTATTCCAGAGCAGCTACAAAACCTCATCTAGGAATCTAAGGAATGCGTTCAATTTCCCCTTTTAATAGAGGATGATGATCAAGAAATATTACTGAAGCTGGAAGGCATACAGCTGCCATAAAGCAAGGAGGCAACAGATGTGTTCCCTCCAATGTTAGAGATGGAGCCTTAGGCAATCTTTGATGGGAAGGATGAATCCTGACAGGTTTTGGGCACAGCAATTCAGGGCATGGTCTGTAGAAAGAACTAGAAGAGGAACATCTAGCCTGCAGTTCTAATTCTGCCCAGCGAAAGTGAGAAGCTCAGCTACTGGGGGCCTCCTTTCACACTATACCCTACCTTGAAGAGATGGAGAAGACCTTGCTCTGTTCAATGAGAGATTAAATGAAAGGACTGCTTATCCATCATCAGCCAGCTTCTGGAAGCACTGGTTGGCAGCAGATTATTCTCCTTCTCCTTCTCCTGCTCCTTCTCCACACAGGAACGAGGACAGGCGCAATGCAAGCAGCCTCTCAGCTAGCAGGAGGGGTTTCATTCTTCCCTATAAGTCTACTCAAAGGAAACAAAGAGTAATTTTAGCATTTTTCTTCCCTCTGTGAGAAAGTATTTGCAAATCATACAGTTTCTGAATCCTATCTACAATTCAGGACTTAGTTGGTGCTCAAATTTGCATATGGTGGTTTTGCACAGAAAACTGCATTTTCTGCAAAAGAAACAGGATTTTCTGCACAGAAAGTAATTCCTGGAAAAACCATTTCCTGCACAGAAAAATGCTATTTTCTATGCATATCATCCATGTGAAAATTTTGCTCAGAATAAGTTCTTAACTATGACATGTTCTTTGCAGAAAAAAAAGTTTTTTTGTCCAGAAAATGATATATCTGCACAAAACTACTCCTGTTTCTGCACAAGCCAAACATGTGAATTTTGTGCAGAATAAGTCCCAAAGTGCAAAGATTATTTTCAGTCCAAAATTCTTCTCATGGTTTCCTGATTCCTCCTCCCCTCCCCCCATAGTATTTTCAAATATTCTTCCCATCCCTAGTCTTGGCAATGCCAGCTGAGAGCATATCGTGGCACTTCTTCCTTGCATATGAAAAGAAGAAAGAGAATGATCCAGGACTCTCCTTAGGTGCCATCTGAAAGTGTTTTGTTTTACTTCTATGTTCCTCCCTCCCACCAATGCATAAGAGGACAAAGAAGAAGAAGAAAGAGAGTTACTTAGGTCTTGTCTGAAGCACCAGGTTATTTACTTATTTGTTATCCTGCATTAGTCCCAACATGGGTTCCAAGGCAGCATACAATCCTTTAAAAACATAATGCAATTGAAAAGTTTTCAGTAGAAAAGTTAAAACACAATTCAATCAAATTTCTGTTTAAACAACACTACTTGAAAATGTGGGTTAAAGCCATTTTTTAAAAACACATATGAAAGAAAATAAAACAGAAATAGTACACCCATTAATAGCTCAATCTGTCCCAAGATA